TCTCAGTGACATTAGAGAGATTTCATGAATGCTGTGGCTAGATTCTCAGAAATAAATTAATAATCACCAAGTATCTGTCATTTTAAGGCTGATGGTGCTAAAAAAAAAAAAAAAAAATCAGAACATCAGAAGGAATATCCAGAACACAGGAACATCTGTGACCTCTGCAAGGGACACAGCACTGCCAGAAGTACCACTGCATCCCTGCATCCAAACACAAAGGAACACATTTCCAAAAGTAATCTCAGTTTCTAACTCCTTCATTTCATTTCTCAGAGACCACTCTACTTCAGTTCCTGATTTTGAGAGCTGGTCTTGCCAATGTAAGCAACCTAAACTCGTGTTCATAATTTGTTCCTGGATGTCTACCCATGCTAAAGGATGCTCCATTCTGTGCCTGGCCGGCTGGCAGATTGATGTGGTAGACATTCCTACAGTTTGCCAACTCTAAAATCTTGATAAGCTGAAGTGTACAGAAATAAAGATTCATTTGCAAACTTCGATTAGGTTTCTGCATTTACTCTGTCATATGTTTGTAAAAACAACTTTACTTCAGAAACCTTTTACTGCATGAGCACCAGGTCGTTTGATTTTTTACTATTTCAGAAAAAGAGCGGGGAAGTACGATCAATTCTTGACAGCTCAGGTAATTCAAATGCAAATGTATGAACCCTGTCAGTCATAGAAGAAATAGTCAATTAAATAAAGACATTTCCCATGACRAGAGTAATTAAATGGGCTGAGTTTCCTCTTACTTCACAAAGACATTTTTAAATTCCTTATTACTCATGAGGCACCTTTGGCTTCTTGGCCAGATGGACTAGCATCCCAGGTGTGCTTGCTCTCACAGTACCCTTCCATCCCTTACACCACAGGGAGGACAGGGAGGTGTCCCACACTCAGCCACCCACMTTGGGAGGATGCCCTGAGCACCAGCTAAAGAAATCTGTCTCAGCAGAGCAGAGCAGCAGTGCATATAGWTGTCCCTCAGTTGCCAAATTCATTTGCAGCCTTTCTAAAACACACAAGCACTCATAGCCGCACATTGACCTCTTGTCCCCTTGCTCTTGTATACTCAGCCGTGACGCCTTATCACTCATACAAGGTGGCTGTAAACTCACCACAGGCCTTAACCCTGTGCTGGTTCTTCTGCAAATCTGCAGTGGTGACAGGAGAACAAGTCCCKCTGACAACCCTCACTGCTCCTGCAAATAGAGCTGGGCAGATGCAAGTATCATGCAGCCAGTAGAGTGGTTCCACATAAAATACAATTGCAATATTGTTAACTCTTCTTTGCCCTTTCTTCCACACTCTATTGAAAAAATTCATTTTAGCCTRACATTGGCTTATTGTTGTACACAGAGCTGGCCTAAATCCACTGGGATTCTTTGGGCTATGTCCTACCTAACAAAATGTGCAGGTATGCACGTGTGCATGTATATGACTCAGACTGGGCAACTCTTGCAGCAGGAAGATTGAAAATCAGCTGTTTATCCTGTATTTTGGCAAAACACAGTCTTTGAGAAAAGGTTGCAAGTGAGCAGTCAGTTGTATGTGTAACTGTATTGGCAGGRCAAAACTCTAAGAAGCTCTAAGTGCTGTGGTGGAAGCTAGCATTTAGCTAAGAGTTTACAGTCATCAGAAGATGATAGATTCCTTTATATTTATATATATATATATATGTATTTAATCCAACTTAAAATATGGGCAAGTGAAAATGGAAAGAGGATAAGAGTGCCTCAAGAAGGTACCTTTCTTTATATAATACAGACTGTGCAAGATGTACTAAAACTGGGACTAATCCTTAGAAGATGATCCAAAGCAACCAAGAAGATGTGTGTCATCTACTTGTGTCACTCCTCCCTCATGCACTGTATCTGCTTATCATCCACCAGCTTTCATCTTGTGTTTGGATGGGAACCTATGTGGGAAGAATTTTGTTGTCTCACACTCCAGTGCCATCCTTCACGTGGTAGACCTCTCATCCCAAAGATGCCAAATCCTACTAGACATCACTATGATACCTCGATCAGTAATGCTGATAGTTTTGCTCCTTTTCTTTTATTAGTGGAAGCTGATTGGAGGTTGTTTCTTTGCAGAATTATGAATTATCGACACCCAAGACTTACGGTCCCTTTCCATGGAGTCAGTGCCATGAAGTGCAGTAGAAATCACGCTGGGTATGTGGTTATTCTCTGCAGGCTCCAAYATTTCCATTTTTGAGAACAGGATCATTCAGATGCCTCATGAGAGCATGTCAGATACACTGACATCACTCAACATTTGCCATCTCAAATACATACATCTAATTTATGCTAAATGGCAAGATTATGTCTATACTGAAGGAAACAGACAGGGATCCTGAAATGGTGATTTATCCTCCTCTGGAGGAGTTTCACCCCATGGGCCAGAAGGCACTTGTCTGACTAGCTCAGAGTAGATCTCATTTTAGACTGCAAGTACTATGTGAGATAAGGTGTGCATGGGTAATGTCAGCTGCCATTCTCCTCGCCATGCTGCAAAGCAAGCAAGCCAGCATTTCCATAGGGCTCTGGAGTGATGGAGGGCCATCTGGGAAGCTCCTTCGGGGCATGCTGCTTCCTGTCCTTGGGAACATAGACATATGTTCTCAAGGATATAGACATATGTACCTGTCCTACAGTAACACAGTTGAACTCAAAATTGAAATCATCTTGGGTGCAAGTATAGTATCTCTCCAGGTGCAAAGCCTGTCCTCAGCAGAATTTTTGGGTTGTAGGTCTGCAGTCTTAGGAAGGCATCACAGCMCTATTATGATCTACTCATTTTTGGAAAGCTTTCTCTGTACATTTTAAGTTTATTTTCTTAATGATTCTGGCATGATTTATACTGGGTCCTAGAGTTCAGGATGACATTTTTGAGAAAGTGAAGTTAGAYTAATAGGCTGTTAGCTGACAAAATGTAGGCCATATATTTTTGCAACAAAAATATCCCACCACTGCTGATAATATGCCAAAATAGAAAACTCAGTAAATATAACAGATAAGGCTCATTTCTAGTTCAATGCACAGCATTTAAGCTTCATAGATCTAAAGAAGAATGTAGAAATTATGTTATTATCTCCTTTTATAGTAGGCAGCAGATATATTAGAAAAGGTCAAAATGGTCCCATTTAAAATAGGAGCATTAACTCTTCCCTCCACTTGCATGCCTGTTTCCCTTATAGTCAAGTCACATTTCAGCTGCAGCATGATGGTTGACAGGGTTCAGATAAAACCGAAATTGAGAATTTCAAGATATTAGAAAACAAATTTGCTACAGCTACAGTTTTCTGTTACATACTCTCACTTTAGACAGTAACTGCTGTTGATGTGCTGCCCAGTAAAAACATTTTAAGTGTTTACTTTATGTTGCATGTGATCAGACAGCAACAAATCTTTTCAAAATAATATTTTTCTTTATGGTGCATTTTTCTTTTCCTGACATTTTTAAGGCAACTTACATTACAGCTCTGGAAAGACCAATTTCCTAGAGAAACATTTATTATTTTCCTAAGATTTTTTTTCAGAACGGGTAGTGTTCCACCTGTCATATGAAACTCAAAAGTGAAAGTGCAGGTGCTTCTTCACGAGAAAATTTGTATAGTTTTCCTACTTTCCCATCCCTGAAGATTGCTCTTGGTGCACAGGCAAATTTGTCATCTGCTATTGGGACAGACAGTGCTGTTTTTGTATGTATGCTTAAACAGGGGAGCTGAAYCAACGTGGTTACAAAACACAGTGATCATTCAGCTTGCTCTAAGGCCCTATGGAGTGATCTGCTTTCACTGAAGCCACATGCCAGTTACTGCAGTACATGTGTGAACTGTCTTAGAATAGTTTCATGTTTTAAAATGATAGTTTAGGAGAAGAAAAACAGTGGCATTCAAGTGGCCAGTGAAAACACTTCCTTTTGATCAAGAAATACAATCCCCTTGTCTTTTTGAGCAGGAAAAATCTGAAAGAGTTTTTCTCAACAGAAATCTTGGCACTTCTGTGAGATTTCATAACTTTAACATGTTTACATATTATTCCTTAATGTCTTTTTGAAGTACCAAAATTACAAACAAGGTATCTTGGCCTCTTTGATTTGAATATATGTTTTTATAAATGCAAACAGTTCAATAAGTACCTAAAATCCTTTCAGGAAGCTAGGCTATATCCTCCAAAATAACATTTAAATTCAAATGTGYTTTGACATTGAAACTGAAATGCTCTGGGGTTGATTTCAAAATCCTCAGAGAAGTCTGAAATAGTGCTCACCTATTAGAATTACCTTGTCTGTAAAAGTCAACCCTTTTTATATATTATAAAATAACATAACTTTTGCATATTGTTTTTACCAAATATTATTGGGAGACAAAGTTGCTGAATGAACAGCACAGAGCTGTTTTGATTGGATAAGATACAAATCATTTAATCAGGGAAAATATACTGACTAATGTGGATTGAGATTCCTCACTTTAGGCACTCTCATTTGAATATTTTTAACATATTTCACAAACTGTTGCTCTACATGTAACTAGCATCAAGAAAGCAARACAGTATAAAGAAATGATTCTAACTGCACTTTGAAGTGCTCCTCTCAGTGCCTGCACACTTCATGAATTACAGATCGATTATTTTTCTGGCAAATTTGAAAATGCTATCTTTTAACAAAGCATCATTCTGTAATATTTTTCCTCTCTCTGGGTTTTAACTCGGTCTGCTTTTGTCTTTCTTTTAATTAAATTAGTCTATTAGCCAAACTATATAAGCATTGGTTTAGCCTAGGAAAAAAAATATCCTACATTCAGTCTACCTCCATGAGTTTTGTACTCATAACCACCAGAAATAAAATAACATTGCTCTTTTTCCTCATTAGGTTTAAAATGCCACTTACATTAATTCAGGTTGTTACCTGAAAACATGCATTTGCAACTGTGCATTTTATGGATTTTTAAATAGGCAGGCATCTTTGCAAGACTGCAGCAGAAAGCTTACCTGTCAGCGGAGAGAGCAGTCAGGGTAAAGACTGACACCCCTACAGAAGTGAGTTGTATGAAGGGGATAAGTTTGCATCCAATTCTGCCAAACAGCCATTCATCAGCAAGGTACCTGCTGGCATCCACAGGCACACAAGTCACTAAAAGCAGCAGGTCTCCTAAAGCCAAACTGGATATGAACAAATTAGGGACATTTCTCATRGATTTCACAGTACAGAAGATCTTGATCAAAGTGATATTGCCGATAAGGCCTATCAAAATGATGATCCCGTAGATGGTGGGGATGGCATACAGGAACGCTGGGTAAAACCAGTCATCACTCGGCATGGAGAAATTTGCACTGTGGTTGGCAGAGATGTTGTAGAGAATGAAGGTATCCATCTCTGGGTCTAGCAGGAGACACTCTCCCGATGCCATTGTCCCACTTAGCTCTTCTCTGAAGCAAATTTTCTTTGAAAATCCTCATAAAAAATCTTTCACTTTAATTTTGCTGCTTTAAACAGCCTGAAGTTTAAAAGTCATGCCACTTTGTGATACATCTTGAAAATAAACAAGCCAAAAAGCAAGGACACACAATTCAACACTCGTGATTCCATAAGTTTAGGAGAGACCATCTTTTAGTGTAGTTTGAATCCTGAAACTTGCCTTTTTTCCTCACGGATTCATCGTGCTGCTATGTATTCCTCAGTTCTGAAAGGCCATCTATCAAATTCAAAGACCAGTAAGTGGGAGGCATTTTCAAATGCAAGGCTAAATTTCCAGCTTCAGTTTTGCCGAGCAGAACTGACTCTGAAATAAGGGAATCACAAAAAGCAAGAACTTCTTATAGTTGCTGTCATTCATGTTGCAGTCCCAGTCTCTTCCGGGTTTTAGCACCTGCATTTTCCAGGCAGATTTAAAGTGAGGAAAAASAGCAGCTCCTTTGATGACTCGGATCTTATAGGCAGGATCTTCTGGACGTCAATTCCTTCCCTGCTTCACATGATGAGAGCAAGCTTGCTTAAATGATTACAGTAATTCTATGGAAGCTGCAGGCTAGTGCCGGAGAATGCCAGCCACCTACTGGACAATTTAATCACTGCCTGGATAAATATATATTTATATATATATATATTTAAAATCTCTGTTAACTCTTTAGATGAAAAAAAGTTCTAATTTATATGTTGTGAGGGTCACAGTCTTGTCCTCATCATGAAAAAAAAAAAAATCCTTTGAAAGCTTTGTTTATTCCATAAGGTAAATAACACCATTACAGAAGAAAGTATACTTTCTTAAATGAGAGCACACACACTATGTTTGCACTACAGTATCCAATTGCTTCAATGAAAGAGAAAAATGACATGAAGACAAATTCATCCTCCAGGGCAAATGAGCTGAATAAAGCCAATTAAGATAAAATCAACGTTATAGTTAAGGTAGGTAGGTAAAGCAACATTGGCCTACACAGAAGCAGTTAAACAGGGAAGCCTGAACTCTGCCCCCTTTTTTTTTTTTTTTTTTTTTTTTTTTTTTTTTTTTTTTTAATGGTGTTTTAAATTGGAGGTAACAAAAATAAGGAATAAAGTTTACTGTTGAGTATGCTCATTTCTACTCATGACATACCCATCATAGTCGCAACTATAGGTCATGCACATTGAGACGAAACAAAGAAAAAATATCTAGGTAATAGTGTAATAGGAAAATGTTCTTTTTTATAGCTTAATTAAAAATAATTATGACTGATGTCTTACTGCTTTATAATACGTAGACTATTTATGATTATGTACAAGGAACTTCTGGGCTGTGAAGAAGTACAGTTAATTCAGAAGTCAGAGTGCTGAATTAAACAAAGCTGCAATTTACTTTTGCCCCTGCAACATTTCTGTAGGTGAAAGAATGTTGTACCAACTGTTACAATTCTGGGGAGTGAGAAGGAAGGTGATTCAAATCAGATGTTAACCAGTAAAAGCAAAATTCAGTTATTTGATAAAGGAAACATTTCAGAATACGAATGGAAAATACCAGATACTTGGGAGCTATGTTCTGGAATGGGACTCTGAAAGAAAGCCATTAGTAGCTGTTTTTCTGCCTCGTTCCTGTGACCCAGGTCAGTGTTTTCAGCTGCTTTGCCGCTGTTCACTCTAAGTCAACAAAGGACTTATGTGTACCCTTAAGTAGGGATATTTAGATATTTCAAATCAAATACCCAAGARAGTGCTGTGCTGAGAGCTCAAGGGAACAGAAGGGAAGTTAAAATTTCTGGGATTCTTTCAGACAAAAAGAAAGATTTTTTTTTTTAAAGGCCTTAGGTTGACATCGCTAAAAGAAGAGGTCACTGAGCTACTGTACACAAGGAGAAGAGCTCTGGTGAGTCCTTGCCAGATGTGTGCAAAGCTGCCAGGTTGGAGAGAGCTCCGGCAGAGGCACAGCAGGACAGAGAGGGGCCAAGGAGCCCCTCACAGAGCTGCCACACAGCATGGTGGGATGCCTCTCCTAGAAGCTCCCACCAAATGGTTAACAGCTTGTATGGGCTCATGGGCTGAACTCCATGGGCTTGTCCACTTGACCTTCTTTGTTTTCCCAGTCTTGTGCTGAAGTTGAAAGGATGTTGTAGGAAAAAGGGAGAGCATCTTGAATCTGACCTGAGCAGCCTGGCTAGTGGTCAGTGGTGACCAAGATCTGAGCAGTAGGTTGAAATTTTCACCCAATGGATATTGGACTGGTCACTGTCCAGCCTAAATGACTCTAGGACTTTGATTTATAACCTCACCAGTTAGAGCTGTAACAGCTCCAGATCTCTCATTTTTCAAAGTGAACAAGAGAATGATTTGCTAGCCAAAAAACCTCCAGTATAGCCACTGAGCCATAATTTACCATTGTTTAAACTGTTCTACTCTGGAATTTTTCTTACTATTGCACAGCAAACTATGTGGGATGAATAAMGCAGAGAAAAGAAAGTTCTTATCTTTGCAGGTACATACAGGCAGATCAGCATGCCCCATGTCTCTAAATCAGTGATGGAGGGGATTCACACGATTCTCTGTGAGGATTTGCTTCAGCTTAATCATTGCAAGGTAGATATTAGTTCCAGGGAATATTTCAAGTCTAAAGCTGTATTTCTACTTTTGTTTTTGACAAGAGATGAAGAAACAAACAAAAAAAAAAAAAGGGAAAAAAAAGGAAAAATCTGATCCTGTGAAGCTTTACATAGCTTCATAACTTCACATATAACATTGATTAACTTGTGTTATAAAAAAATAATAATTGTCACTTAAACTTAATAGACTCTTTTGGGGTTCTGGAGTACATAACTAATGCTAGCATACAGGAGACAGGTTTTATTCACAATTAGTCCATGAATGTTCAACAGAAGTAACTTAGAAATACTGAAGATGTTTCCCAGGCATGTTTTTGTCTTAAACTAAGTTGCATATGAGAGGCTTTGTTTAATACAAATTGTGTGCATCACCTCCCTCTTTTCCTCTAGTGTTTATATTCCATGAACAGGCAAAAAGTTTGGACATTTGTATAAGCATAGGCACGTCAGCTGTAGTTTTCATTTCAAGCTCCCAAGCCTCTTTCCAAAGAAGCTAAGCATCACTGTCCCAATTTTACCAAAGGGGGAGCATTCATGCACAAAAAATAGAAGTGGCAGGCACAAAGTAACTGAACAGGCTGTTGGCAGAGTCGTGAATAGAATAATATAGGCCTCCCAAGCCTGGTCCTGCATTACAATGTTTCTCTGTTGGAGAATGAGAGATTCCACAGATACTCTCAATAGATGTTTTTTTAAGCTCTCAACCCTTACTCAGCCTCTAAACGATAAAAAATAGACAAGTTTACTCCTTAATTGTGCACAATAGGAGAGACTCATAAAAGAGATCAAAGGGTAATGTTTTCAAAAGCAGTTGAAGGGTATCTGGAAGGTAATGAATTTTAGGCTCCTGAGCTCACTCTCCAGGAAAAAGAGCCAGAGTTTCCAACAAATTCAATTTGCATTGAGAAAAGTGCAGGAGGACTGGCTTTTCAAGGGAGCTCAGCAAATGACAGTCACAGGCAAATTTTCAGAGAGTCACAAACACTCAGTGTACTGACATATTTTGCAGGCCAAGGCAGGCAGAGGGCCCATTCAGTGGCCTCTGCATCACATGGCTCTGCGTTGGCAGAAAGAGCTCATATAGGGACTGTCACCCCCCAAAAAAATCTCTTTATCGAGCATGTTGAGTTTTCTTTCTTGCTACATCACTTTGTAGTGGCTACTAAGGTATCACTTGGAGGAGATGGGTAAACTTGTCACCAAAGCCAAGTGTCAGAAGGAAAATCMTCATGATTAGATCCCTGTTTCCATATGACTATGTTACTGGACCAGGAACCAGTGACCAAGGATTAATCTTCGCTGATCTTGTGGAATTTAACATCTGCTGCTTTATCAGTTATTCTCCTTCTGCAAACTGGACTTCATTTCCCTGAGGGAGCAAAGTGGTGGAAAACATCCTGCCTATGATGTGATCAAGCRAAATCTTTATTATTATTACTGCCACACATATCAAATCACATCATGCTCTGCATCTCAGTTTGCCATTCTGTTTCAGTCACCTAACATTCATAATAACCGTTCACAAAAGAGTTGTTTTTCAGACGGGGTATTCCAGGGATCTGGTTTACAGCACAGCTTCATAGGCAGTTAGTTATATTAAAACAATTTTTTGATCAGTAACCTGGGCTCAAAGTTGCATAGCTAGTGGTTAATGGGACTGTGAAGGGAGCTGAATACAACCCATAGGTTAAAAAAAAATATCAAAATCWTACTCATGCTAGATTTGACAACTCCTACTGTTTGTAACTGGATTGCATAAATCCTATGCTCAGTCCCAGCATCTCATCACAGCTAACACATGATCCAAAAGCTGTGATCCAAAAGCTGACACAGCTGGAAGGGATGCCTGAAATGGATAGCACCTTCCTTTCTTACCGTAGGAGACTTGCTCACAGAGAATGAAGTATTTGAACATAGAAACATGCAGATATTTACAGGGGTCTCCTGACAGGCTTGAGATAACACAGGCAAAAGCATAATATCTCATCTGAAAATGTGGCACATGTGAAATCAAAGCTCTTTTGTAGGCCAGGAGGGAGAAGGAAGCAGTCTTTGATTGGTAAATGTTGGGTGAGAAGGGACCTGAGAATGAAGGGAGGTACTCTAGAAGAGGGGACATCAGGAAAGGGTTGTGCTGGTGGAAAAGTATGTGCTGGTGTGAGCCRTTAGCAAGGAAAAGGACCTTGACAGCAATCTTCTGAATATATTGGAGTGGCAAGATTGCATATTTAAGGACCAGAAAAAAAGAATGATTTAGTAGGCATGAATAAGTAAGTGGAAGTTTGGACAAGAAGCTTCAGCTATAGTAGTGATAGGAAAAAAACATTGTAGTCGTATACAAAAAAAAGAAACTCTTGCAAGACAGATAGCCATGAGGGTGGAAAGAGAAATACAAACAGAAAGCAGGCTCTAATGATAAGAAATCACAAAAGGTAGCAGCAGAGAGATTTTGGTGCATAGAAAACATCAAGATTGCTCCATTAAACTTACTAAGGTTCTGTTGCAACTGATAATTCCCAGGGAAACACTGTGGGACAAGACTCCTGATAGAAGGAAGCAAATCAAAGCCAGAGAGATTTGTGAGTTGTCCACATAAAAGAGATAAGTCTGTAGTTGCTGACAGCTTGGAGGAGCAAAGAAGAGGGATACAAATTTGGGAGCACTCTGAAATCCCACAAAGAGCTCAGTTGAGATGAAAAGAATTTATTAAAGATCCTGCAGAAGAGAAAAGGGAGATAGAAGAAGAGAGAACAGTTGAGGGAGACAGGAAAAGATAGGGTTTCAGGATAAGTGTATGATCAAGCACATCATCATAACAAATTGGAAAATGAGGGTAAGGATAGTACATAGTTTCAACTAGATTAGGCTAAAGAAACATAATTAAAGACTGATGCAGGATATTTCAGTAAAGTGGAAGGARAGAAAGCCCGTCTAAAA